TTGAGATAGTCATATTAAAACCTGATGAATATAATCTACGGGGCCTGAACGGAAGCATTTAATAGTATATAATAGCAAACAAAAATAATAATAATTATAACAATATATCCATTGCGCTACCACTACCATGCCAGGATCACAAACAGAACATAATGCAGTTAAATATACAGTGACGTGCACCTGAAGATAGCTATGTACATATACATATACGCCGATCTTAACAGACATTTAGAGTACAAATTAAAACTAGCAAAACTCCATAACTTGAACAATCAACATCTAAGGGCTTAGATACTCAGGGTTTCACAACTGGGTAACTAAAGCCACAAGTGAAGGTTGATCTCCAGGTTGAGTGCCTACAGAAACAAACATAAAATAGAGTGAGTCAAGCTCAGTGAATAATAATACATAACAATTCAATGCTCAACGTGAATTATAATCCATATCCGTGTGTTTATCAATAAAGAGAACATATGGTTTATTTGTTTCTGTATGCATAGCTAAGTATCTTTTTCAGAAAACTTGTCATATCTTGAACATTCGGGGTTTCATAGTGCATCTACCGAAAGTCGTTCGAGCACGACAAACACCGAAGGACTTGCACCTTCAGAGGATTTTAAGGTCTCCTAGACCGAGTGCTGGGGAAAAATGCATGACGATGCAAATTGTGCGTGTTACAATGCGTGTAGACATGCATAACGATGCAAGGGATGATGTGTGCTACAACACATGCAGACATGCATAACAACAAATGATAACGTGTGCAATGCACAAGGTGTGTGCATAACAAATACCGAAGGAATTGCACCTTCAGAGGATTTAAGGTCTCCTAGACCGGGCGTATTTAAGGTCTCGCCAGACCGCTGTGAGTGCATACAATGCGAGCACAATGACGTATAACTCAACACGCGTTCACGTCAAAATGTTGTAAAACAACGCATGCAGGGCAACTTTCGAAGACAAAAGGATACAAAAAGGATACACCGCACCCGTATTCAAGTGGTACGCACAGAAGACACGGTCTGAGGTCAAAACGGAGACCGGTTGAGCTTCGAAAATGCACTTTCTTGCACTATCTTGAGCAATGAAGGCCCCAAACCACACATCTGGCCCAAACAAGGGTGTAGGAGGCTCACCGGCCACTAGAAATGTCGCAGGCGAAAGGGCTCTGCGTCAGTCCTCTTCTCCGTCGGGTCACCCATCACCTTTTTAAGTTGTGCTTTTAGTTCCTGTATCTCCATTCCCATAGAGTCAAGGATTCGATCCCTGTAATCCTTTTCTAGTAAAAAATGATGAGAAGAACCTCCAGCGAAGGACAATCGATGCTCAATAGATTCGAGAGTCCGATTGTTGTTCCTGGTTTGTTCTTCCAAGACTGTCAGGAGTGCCAAGCCTTTATCCTTTGTCTCCTCCGTTTATGGAGTCAGTGCCAAATGTGGGATGTCCTCAATCCCCATTGCCGGAATCAAGCGTAGAACTCGAAGACAAAGTCGTCCACGTTCACTGCACCAATTGTGCATACTAAATACCGCACTAGATGATTGTGGATCAGAGCTCCGCACTTGATTCAGTATCCTGTAGCAATGAGCACTATTAGAGCTGCCCGGCCGGGGCTGGCCGGATAACCCCTCCAGTGTGGGAATGAGTAATCGGAGAAGATGAAAGGTACTCTCTAAGTGTAGAGAGTTGTGTTTAGGTGAGTATGGTTTAGCTTAGGTCAGTTACCTTCAGTGTGAAGTCAATGTAGTTTATAGATGATACAGATTTATATACGTATATATATAGATGATACATATGTATATATCTATACAGAGAGAGAGACAGAGAGAGAGAGAGAGAGCATACCGCACCACCGTTCGTCCTCGCCGCACCACCGCCGCACCACCGCACCACCGTTCGTCCTCGCCGCACCACCGCCGCACCACCGCACCACCGTTCGTCCTCGCCGCACCACCGCCGCACCACCGCACCACCGTTCGTCCTCGCCGCACCACCGCCGCACCACCGCACCACCGTTCGTCCTCGCCGCACCACCGCCGCACCACCGCACCACCGTTCGTCCTCGCCGCACCACCGCCGCACCACCGCACCACCGTTCGTCCTCGCCGCACCACCGCCGCACCACCGCACCACCGTTCGTCCTCGCCGCACCACCGCCGCACCACCGCACCACCGTTCGTCCTCGCCGCACCACCGCCGCACCACCGCACCACCGTTCGTCCTCGCCGCACCACCGCCGCACCACCGCACCACCGTTCGTCCTCGCCGCACCACCGCCGCACCACCGCACCACCGTTCGTCCTCGCCGCACCACCGCCGCACCACCGCACCACCGTTCGTCCTCGCCGCACCACCGCCGCACCACCGCACCACCGTTCGTCCTCGCCGCACCACCGCCGCACCACCGCACCACCGTTCGTCCTCGCCGCACCACCGCCGCACCACCGCACCACCGTTCGTCCTCGCCGCACCACCGCCGCACCACCGCACCACCGTTCGTCCTCGCCGCACCACCGCCGCACCACCGCACCACCGTTCGTCCTCGCCGCACCACCGCCGCACCACCGCACCACCGTTCGTCCTCGCCGCACCACCGCCGCACCACCGCACCACCGTTCGTCCTCGCCGCACCACCGCCGCACCACCGCACCACCGTTCGTCCTCGCCGCACCACCGCCGCACCACCGCACCACCGTTCGTCCTCGCCGCACCACCGCCGCACCACCGCACCACCGTTCGTCCTCGCCGCACCACCGCCGCACCACCGCACCACCGTTCGTCCTCGCCGCAGCACCGCCGCACCACCGCACCACCGTTCGCCGTTCGACTTCGCAGGGATTTGGGGGAAAGAACTTGGTTTCACAGATTTAGGGATTTGGATATAGGTTTCACTTTTGATCGAGCGGCAAGATGAAGAGGGGGAAAAAAAAATTCACTTTTTGCGACGGTAGGTTTTACACCGTCGCAAATGTCAAGTAATTTATGCATAAAACGACGCCGTTTAACTTACACTTATTTGCGACGGACAATTGCCGTCGCAATATGTAAAATATTCGCGACAGCAACCGTACGCCGTCTCCAAAAAATTGCTTTTGGCGACGGTAAAAATAACCGTCGCTAATACTGATGCATTTACTTCCTACCGCGCATTTCTTATTACCGACGGGGACAATGCCGTCGCTAAAGCCCTCATTTGCGACGGTTGAGGCTGCCGTCGCAAAAAACCATTTTTTGCGACGGGAAAATTGCCGTCGCTAATGCTTCCGTGTTTTTTACCCCCTTTTCTTGTAGTGAAACTAGTTTTGTTCTGTCAAAATATTCTGCTATGATAATGCCAAAACTCATACTTAGGGTTTGGTTGATATTTCTGATGACAAAATTGCAGTTGGATGCAAGTGTGTCTATAAAATTAAAACTCGCTTTAATAGATCTATTGAGCAATATAAAGCTCATCATGTTGCTAAGGGCCTTACATAGGAGTATGGTGTTGACTGTAAGGAGAAATTTGCTCCGATTGCACATCTTACTTTGGTTTGTAGTCTTCTTGTTGTAGCTGTCATTCACAAGTGGCAATTGTATCAAGTGGATGCCAAAAATGCATTTATTAATGATAATAGAAGATGTCTACATACAATCTCTTCCAAGGTATGCCCATTGACCACATCACGTCTATAAGCTTCCACGTGCTCTGTATGGTCCCAGACACCTTGAGCATGGCAAGTCCTTATGATTATATTCTTTTTGTTTGCAAGACCGAGCATGGTACCATTCTTCTATTTTTGGTGGATGATATAACTATTTACTGGAACTGCTGCTAGAATTTCTAGTTTTAGACAGTTTCTCAGCAACAAATTTGTGTTAGTGTATATTGTATATTCTACAACATTTTAGATCATGAAAGTGGCTCCAAAGAGGGACACAACTCTCCTACTATGCCTTGACCCCGACATCTATTGATAGTGGGTGCTCTTTGTCTTTGGGTGCTATGTAATTGGCAGCAAATTTCTCCAACTTCCATCATAATCCTTTTAATCACATACACACACAAACCCAAATAGAACAAAAAACTTATTCCAAACTTATGAATTATTCTTACAGATCCATAGATTTACAGTCCAGTAGTGAAATTGAAACCACATTACCCCAAGTTTTTGCCAAAACTACAAGCAAAAACGAAGGAATAATGCTAGGTATCATGAAAAAAATATCATGAAGATGATCATGAAATATTCTCCACTTTTGAATTACACATATAATAAAATACCACACACTAATTAAAAGGTGAAAAATATTTATGATGCATTTCATGATATTTTTTTCATGATTCCTAATATTATTCAAAACCAAGAAGATGAAATTTAAAACGATCTCGGTTTCATCACAATAGTTGAATGCTTCAAAATGTGCATGCTGAACTGCCCTCCCTTCTCAGCAGTATCAATCTTCGACTGTCCACGAGGCGGCAACAGCTCAAAATTCTGCACCAATCGCCCCAAAGTAATACCCAGAATTGGCAGAGCACGTATCATCCCAGGGCTGCTCCTCCTACCAACACCGAATGGAAGGCACCGGAAGTCATTTCCATTGACCTCAACCTTAGCCTCCTCTTCCAAGAACCTCTCGGGCCTAAACTCTTCTGGTTTCTTCCAGCTTTCGGGGTTGTTGGCGAGCCACCACCCATTATCCAAGATTTTGCTCTCGGCGGGGATGTCGTAGCTGCCGAGCTTGGCATCGTGGAGGTTCATGTGAGGGACTAGGAGAGGGATTGCCATGCGGAGGCGGAGAGTCTCTTTGACTACGGCTTGGAGGTATGGAGCTTGTTGTGAGTGTCCGGCTCGGTGATTTGGGTGCCAGGGCCGAGCACGGCATCGAGTTCTTGCCGGAGCTTTTTCTGGATTTGTGGATGGTTGACGAGTTCTGCAATGCCCCATTCTATGGACCACAGTGTTGTTTCAATTGCTGTTTCATGGAAGACATTTTGGCACATTAGTCTTGTAAGAAAAATGCAAAACATGGAGATTTTTTATACAAAAATGTCATACAGAATGATGTAACAATGTAACAATGACATTTATGCAATTATAATTTATGATGATGTTTTTTTAATTTCTAACTAATGGTTTTAAATGAGCCATATCATTCTAATAAAACACTCCTCTTGAATAAAAATGATTAAACTAAAATAGTTCAATAAGTTCAAAATAGTAAATTAGCTCGTTAATAAAAATAAATCTTTTGTAATATTATACTCGTTTTTTTTACCAATATTTTTATATAATGAGTCTCATTTGTATTAATGTAGGTTTATTATCTTTGTGCCTAGTTATTAAAAAAAAAACATAGTCAAATGTGTGACATTTTCCTAAATTTGTTGGATAGTTAGGTGACTTGGTTGAAAATCCACTTTCAATGATTTTCCATTTTCAATGATTAATTCCACAATGCTTTTTACCTAATCTAATTTGTTGACATATATGATGTTGTGCTGACCAACCAACCATAATTTTTCGGTTTCAATTCATATTCACTCAGTTCAAAAAAAAAAAAAAAAAATCATATTCACTCATTTTTTAAATTATGTTTTTAAGATTTTTATATTTTAAATTTTTTACATAATTTAACGACCATAAATATATTAAAACAATAAAACAAAGAATTCTTAGACAGTAGGGGTGAGCAGCGGATATACCGATCCGTCAAAACTGACCGAACTAAACCGATCCGATCCACCGCATTTTAGACGGATGCGTGATGACGAGCGGACGGTTGCAGATTGATTTTCTCCAATCCGTCAATTTGGCGGACGGATGGCGGATTTGAGATTCCTTTGGCCGCAACCGAACCATCAAACCGTGAACACCCATATTAATTTATAAAACTTTATATTTTCAATTTGTTTAAATATTTTGTTTGTATTTTCAATTGAAAAAGAGTTTAAATATTTTGTTGAAAAAAAGTTTTCAACTTGAATATATTTTTTGAATTGAAAAAAATAAACGTATTATTTATCTATATTTTTTAGTTTTAAATCTAACTCTAAAAATAGAAAATATGATATATACTGGTTGGTTTTTATTTTCAAAACATATATATAGATGTAACAATACAGATACATACAATCTCTACTATTGCTTTGTTTATGGTTTTAGTTGTTTGAATTATTTTTATATTTTAAAAACTACAGATTGTAATACTATATGCGGATGAATCACGCTGTGATTGTAATATGTGGATGATGCATATAGTGATTGTAATATTCTAAAGTTTCAAACTTTCTTTCTTTGGATGAGATATACAGTGATTGTAATACTTTTTTAAGTCATTGATTGTAATATTTTTTTTTTTTTGAGGAAGTGCATAAGTTGAATTATGTTGAAAATTTATAAAATTTTAAACCGCCAAACCGATTCGCATCGATCCGTCAAACTGCCAATCCACTCAATCCACATCTGTCGGATTGGCGAACGGATGCGGATTCATTTTTTTCAATCAGTCAATTTGACAGACAGATGACGAATTTGAGGTTCCATAGCCGCAACCGACCCGCGCCCACCCCTATTAGACAGATGATATGATGCTTAACCCCTATTATCCCCGCGATCTTATTCAAAATAAATGTCTCTTTTTATTCCGTCATTCACAACTACACAATGAAAATATTTTATTAAAAATAAACTTTTCTGATTATAGATATATGGGACCAGTGGCGGAGCCCCATGGTGCTTATGGTGGTCACGTGCCCATGGATTTTTCTTTTTTTTTTACATATACATATATATATATATAAATAAAATCTTAAATAAAAATAATATTTAAAATAAAATATCAAGGACATTTTAAAATTTATGAAAATAATAATGATTGTTTTATTAAAAATGTAGTGAGTACAACAAATTATATTTCTATGTATAAAAATTTTGTGAAAAAATCTCAATATAAAGGTAATATCTATTATTATTGATATGCAAATATAATTAATCTCACTATATATATGTAAAAATTATTAGAGTGTTAGTTATATTTGCATGTGGAGTTCACCCTTCATATGTTACTTTACTATTGGTTGGTGATAGATCATATATCAACAATGACGTGATATCACTATTATATGAAATTTTTACTCAAATTTTGTAAAAATTTGATTTATCTTACCATTATATAATTTATTTTACGACTTAAATATATGACATTTTTACATTGTCCATGATACACTAGTTATAAGCAATACTTTCTTTTCGATTTTACTCAAAATTAATTGTAAAATTTTATGTGAAAATACTTTTGTAACAATTTATTTACTAAGTATTTGTATTTAATATTAATTCAAAAATTATTATTATCTTCTTATTATTGATTATGAAAAAAATTAAAATTATAATTAATAAATATCCCTCCTGATTTAATTTCTTGACTCCGTCGCTGCATGGGACAACGAGACAAATGCCATTTTTCCAAAGTAAAAAAATTCATTGGACACTAAAAGTGTATAGAGAAGAGTGAATATTAAAGCAGTGTTTAAATCTTAAATGCGTGAGGAGTATGATTCCAAATAATGATAATAATGGACCATATCAATTAATATATCGGTAATTATTATTTTGGTTCACCGTTGGATCTCACCAATACAATCTCCTATAGTTTTCGTTACTAGGTATTTATTTATTTTTTTTTCAATCATGCTAGGGTTAATTTATTTGGGATCTATAATATTTTTTCTTTTTTTTTATTGAATAACAATATTGATTGGCCAAAATCCTGTTACATAACGGTATATAGTATATCTAACAATCAATATTTAACAATCAATATTTAACCTGACAATGAAGAAAAATAAAATTGAAAGAATTGTAAAAAGTGAAAAAAAAGGGTTATATTTTACAACAATGATTCATCCCCCTTTTCCTCCCACCTCCTTTGACCCTCTCTCTCTCATTTGTTACATTTTCTTTTTCTTTTTCTTTTTTTTCCTACTCCTCCAATCACCACCCGCCACGTGACAAGGGGGGTGAAGGGGTGACCCCCAAAAAGGGGTCCCAAGCATTATTCTATATTTTATTCATTTTTATTTTTTGGCTATAAATTTATATATAAATCTAAGGTTTAAATACGACCGCGTCAGTGAAATTCAACTTTCTTAGACTCCAAATTGCAAATTAATACTTGCCTACTAATCGGTTCAGGCCATAGTGCAAAACAAAGGCAAATAATAATTAAAAAAAATAAACACTGGTTGAATTAGTCTATTAACACACTCTTTTGACATGAAATAGAAGGGAGAATAAAATTATTTACTTGCAAATTGCAATGTTTAAATATTTCTCCATCTATAAAGAAAAGAAAGAGTTGAATACATCCTAATATAGTAATTTTGTTTTTTGTTTTTTTTTTAAAGAAGAAAATCCATTAAAGAAAGCTAAGCCTCCGTTTGGGAAGTGGGTTGGCTTTTTGGCTTTTTGGCTTTTTTGACTATTTTAGCCTGGGCTTAAAAGCTTGGGTTGGGAAGGGTTTTTTGACTTTTTGGCTTTTTTGAGTTTTTTTGTGAGAGAAGAATGTAATGATTATGGGTTGGATGTGATGTTTTGTTTGTTATGGCTAAAATAGCCTATTTTGTTTTTTGTGGCTAAAATAGCCAAAAAAGCCTCCAACCCACCTTCCCAAACGGTGCCTAAATCAGCACTTCCAGAGACCATCCAAAAAAAGAGTTTACACCAAACAAAGCAAAAATAGTACAATAAGCATTGTAGACACTTAAATTAAATTTTCACGTGTTGATCACCGTCTGATTAATCAAGGCAAATAAAGTTTCTTGATTAATTAAAATTAAGATGGTCAAAATTTTTAAATGGATGGGGGTCCAACTAAAATTTAAAAAAAATTTAAATTTTTAGAAACATATTAAATTATAATATTATATAGTTTCGTTAACTTGCAAGGGGATAGTTAAAAAATGTTTGTTAGGCATTTTAGCCAATGTAGCTTTAATTTTGAGTTCCAATGGGCTAGCTATTGAGCTAGCTACTTTATCATCCTCCCTTTTTTGTGGCTACAATTGAAGAGCCCCAGAGACTCTCCAAATAAATATATATGTATATATCTTGGATTTTTGTATATTTATGTTTTAGATTTGGGATTTTATATATTTTATATATGTATATGTGTATGTAACAATTTTATATGTTCTTTCAATTCTGTTTGATGAATTACGAAATAATTTATTTTGTATTTTATATTTTTTTTCTCTTCATTCTACAAGTTTTATATGTTTGTATGGGCAGATTTATTGTTATTGCAAATTTATATTAGTAAAATATCAACAATTAGTATTTTTTGTTTTAAAAATTAATTAAGTTAGTTTGAATGATTAGCTAAAATAAAGAGTGTGGTTTGAGAACACAATAAGTAATTAGGTAAAATAAAGAGTGTATTTTTTTTTTTTTTAACTAGTGAAAAGTAGAAAGTATGTGTCACGACCCAAACCCGTTCCTATAGGTTTAGCGTCGTAACCGGCCAGTAATCCTCAGATTACCAAAGGTCTCTTAGTAGATTAACAAGTATTAAGGGGCTGCGGAAGCAACTAGACAAAATAAACAAAGTCCAATCAGTTGTGATGACGTACATGGGACAGAGTAAGTCAAATTTATTATGATCATAAGCATGCTAGTCAAGGGACACCAATATTTACAATATTATTTACAGACTGTAGTTCCCAGGTCCTGACTTTACAAACAGACGGAGACTAGCATAACTACAAAAACAGCCATGGCAATTGACTTCAACTGGAACCTCCTCGGGAGGCGCAACGGTTGGCTGACAAAACTAGGGTGCAGGTTATCAACCCCGGGCTTGGTCTCGTACTTGCTCACCTACATACATAATATAAGGAGTGAGCTAAAGCCCAGTGAATAATAACAGCGTAAAGGGGGTTTAATGAATGATGACCATATTGAATGCAGAAATCAGAAAATCAATCTCTTATCAGATCGGAAATGTAGGATATTCATATTCATATTCATATTCGTATCAGAAAAGAACTACAGTCATATCCATATTCAAATCATGTGTGGTACACTTCCCTTAGCATAACATATCATGTTGGTCATGCATAGTAAGTCCCATAATGGAACCTCCGGTACCAGGCAGTATAACAAAAAACACATTTGGCGACCCAAAAATTGGTCGCCAAAAGAATCAGCAACAAATATACAATTTGTCGCCAAAGGCCTGTCACTAAAAGTATTGGCGACGAAATCAGAAATTGTCACCGTGTATAGACATGTACCGACAAGCAAAATTGGTCACCAAAAATCATATATTTTGTCGCTATAAAATTACAATTTGTCGCTAAAAGGTTAAAATTTGGATAGGCTATGTAGTTTTGGCGACAAATAAATGTGTCGCCAAAAGTACTTTTTAACGACAAAATTAATTTGGTCGCTAAAAATCACGTTTTTAGCGACGAGTAAGTTTTGGTTGCTAAAAGTTCTTGGAATAACCACTAACTTTTAGCGACAAAAACAATATGTTGTCGCCAAATATATTAACAGCGACCAAAATACCACCTGTCACTAAAAATTCAGTACAAAAATTTTGATTTTAATAATTTTTCTGTTCAAAATAATCCGAAACACTTGTTTTCCTGTGCACAATATATACACAAATGTAATGTAAATAATAATACACATGTGCAAGACATTCATACTACTTCAAAATTAATAGCTATGAAAAATTCCAATAAACATAATTGCAATTCTCTGACAATCTAAAACATGCATACCAAAGTACTTACAAACTACTAACGTCAAACCCATAAATATATTACCAAATCCTATGTCAAAATATTTTTAAAAATACAAAACCAAATATTTTGATGCTAAACATTTAATCCATAAATCATTTACCAAAATCATACGTCAAAATATTTTCAAAAACACAAAATCAAATCTTCTGATGCCGCCCGAATTGTTTTCCACCATTGCCAATCTGTCACATGAAAAAAGAAAAAACAATATTAGATTGACAAAAAAAAAAAAAAAACCTCGATATGAATTTCACAATTTTGATTTTAATTTTGTAACGGGAAGTCCAATCGGGTGATGTTTGCTCATACAAGTCTATTTAGGCTTGAACAAGTTGCCCGTGCCAAGTTTCGGTGGTTTCAATGGTCATTTTGCAATTTCGGCCCCGAACGGGCCTTTTAAGTCTTGTGTTTTACATTTTTTCTCGTAATTTTCTAACCGGAAATCCAATCGAGGTCCCGTTTGTTCCTACAAGTCTATTTAGATTTGAACAAGTTGTCCGTGCCAAGTTTTGGTGGTTTCGGTGGTCATTTCGCAATTTCGGCTCCCGAACGGCCTTTTAAGTCTTGTGTTTTATAATTTTCCTTCTAATTTTCTAACCGGAGATCCAATAAAGGTCCCATTTGTTCCTACAAGTCTATTTAGGCTTGAAAAGGTTGTCCGTGCCAAGTTTGGTGGTTTCGGTGGTCATTTCGAAATTTTGGCCCCCGAACGGGCCTTTTAAGTCTTGTGTTTTACATTTTTCCTTCTAATTTTTTAACCGGAAATCCAATCGAGGTCCCGTTTGTTCCTACAAGTTTATTTAGGCTTGAACAAGCTGTCCGTGCCAAGTTTCAGTGGTTTCGGTGGTCATTTCGCAATTTCGGCTCCTGAATGGGCCTTTTAAGTCTTGTGTTTTACAATTTTCCTTCTAATTTTCTAATCGCAGATCCAATCGAGGTCATGTTTGTTCCTACAAGTGTGACACCCCTGTTCCGTAGTATGTTAATTGGTCCTTAACATGATGTGATTATGTATTTTGATATGATTTTGTGTTCCACTATGTGAAAATATGTGGTTTGAAATTTTATCTGTTCATCGTAGGAATATCTGTTTGAGTAGTCACCCACGGGGGCGGGTTCGGGTCGTGACAACAAGTCTATTCAGGCTTGAACAAGCTGTCCGTGCCAAGTTTCGGTGGTTTCGGTGGTCATTTCGCACTTTCGGCCCCGAACGGGCCTTTTAAGTCTTGTGTTTTACATTTTTTCTTGTAATTTTCTAACCGGAAATCCAATCAAGGTCCTGTTTGTTCCTACAAGTCTATTTAGGCTTGAACAAGCTGTCCATGCCATGTTTCGGTGGTTACGGTGGTCATTTTGAAATTTCAGCCCCCGAACGGGCCTTTTAAGTCTTGTGTTTTACAATTTTCCTTCTAATTTTTTAATCGGAGATCCAATTGAGGTCCTGTTTGTTCCTACAAGTCTATTTAGGCTTGAACAAGCTGTCTGTGCCAAGTTTCAGTGGTTTCAATGGTCATTTCGCAATTTTGACCCCCGAACGAGCCTTTTATGTCTTGTGTTTTACATTTTTACCTAGCATGTTTGGGGCCTTTTAACATCGTTTGTTCTTAATATTCTTTTATCTAGCATGCTTGGGGGTATTCTCTAAAATGTATTGCATTCATTTAGCTAATTATTGGCAAAGCCCACTCCAATTATTTTAACAAGAGCTAAATTTTCTCTTCCAACCTAAGGATGCTTTCTAGTGACAAAATCATATGTAAAAAAGGATATTTCAGAACTTTCAAACCTCAACACTAAATTTGAAAATTGTAGCTTCATAATACAAACACAATTATGTGGGTGCACCACATATGAAACATTTTTTTATAATATGTCGCATTAAAATATCTGTGAATTTTTCTGTACATAACATGATAGACGGGGAAAATTTTGACAGTCCAAGGCCATACAAAGAGAACTCAATCAACAAAGTAATTTATAGATAATGGCATTATTAGAGTGCAAAAGCCAAAATGCTTTGTATACACAACGCCACGATATCACCACATAATCCACATGAAAGCATATTGAAAAGTATCCTAATCCCCCAAGAAGAGGTCAAGAACATAACTAGGCAATGATAGATCAATCAAAACAAGTTCCGTCGGTCAGCTTACTTGTTCAACTATGCATAAAAGTATAAACACTCACTGGATCCTAATTTCCCAGCAAGAACACAATTAGACATTGATGGATCAATCAATATACATAACTTCAGCAACATACTTGTTTAACTATGCATATCAATTTTGAGTCCCGTCTTTTCCTATAAGTCATTTATGCCTAGTTAGTCGTATGTGTTAAGTTTTGTTGACATTCGATGCTATTTAACCATTTTAGTGTGCCAACCAGTTCAGAAGACAGAAGTTAAAAGTACTTCAGCTATTTTAATAACTTCTTCTAGGGTGATCATTACCTGCTTTAGTAGTGCATCTTCAAGTGCAACAGTATCACACCTGAAACAAGAATTAAATTAACTTGTACAGGATCAACCACCAAAAGGAAGATATCAAACCATGAAAATGTCAATGATCTAGTCTCACATTAGAAGTTCTGCTATCGTTTGAAGATGAAATTTTGATTTGTCATCTTTCAGAATAGATTAATCAATTTCTATTCCTTTGGCAAATTCAATGCTACCTAGATGAAGAATTGCAGCCACAACTCTGAAAATTGCATCCTGAAAGAAACAGAGAAGTTATTCCCAATTTTATTTTATTGAGCTAAAATGGATGCAGCAGAAATATTTTTGGATTCAAGGCAATACATGTTCTTGCTGACTGACTCCAACAATATCCATGGCTCTCCTAGTGACGAGATAATCATGAGCATCACTTACACCAACAAGTTCATAGCAATTTGATTTGATTCAGATAGCGAAACATTTTAGGACTTCCTAACTTAAATTTCTTAAGTTCCTGATGAGATCCTCCTGATGAGATTTGGAAACAATTAAAAAGATGTATTGACTATAAATTTAAGAGACATTCATCAAGGAATCTGAAATATGAAAGAACATCAGGCATAAAACCTACCTCTGGTGGTGCTGCACAAAGAAGGTAAAATCAATGATAGTTGCGTTCTGTGTTTGAAATTTGGCGAACACGAGATCTCTCAAGAAGGTAAGTTCTAATGGTTGCTCCTGAAATTTTACCATGCTTATCAAATTGAAGCTCAACAAATTTACCAAAGCGGCTGTACCAATAATTAAAATCAAGTTAGCATCATTAAGAACAACATTTTGAAAAATGCACCATTTTTCTATGTATGTGAAAGAGTGCAGGTTCATAGACTGACTAAGAGATTTCACCTAGAATTGTTATTTCGAACAGTTTTTGCATTGCCAAATGCTTCAAGAACTAGATTTGACTGCATTTGATAGACGAGTATATCAATTACAAATCCACAAAAGATATCCATAAAGAAACCATAAATTTTCTGTAAATCACATCATGCATATGAATATTAAGAAGTTAAAGACGATTTCAGAAACACAAAATCTCAAGTTGGCAGGTTTGTATCCTGCATCATCTGCTTTCAGAATTATTTCCAGAAAGAAATCCGAGTACATTAAAAGATTCCATACAATGCATGTCTGATGTTGAGGAAACAGACTAATTCCATCGAACATCCTCCACCTAATAAGCAAGATTCTGAATTTGCCAATTCTCTCCTTATGTATTACCCCTTTCATACTATGAGGAAATTTCTATTAAGAAGAATAGCAGATAAAGGATTGCAAAAAGTAAAGGAAATACATCATGAAAGTTCATTAGTCGTTGGCTTTGTGGGGTACAGAATTTCCAATGTCATATTTTCTGGAAAAGGGCCTCTCAAAGCCACATAACAGTCCAGACTGAAATGTGACAAATTCCTCATATAATCTAAGCGAGGGCAATGTGAAGACCAGATCAGTTCCTGAAATAATACTTATTCTAGAAGTGTTCATTTATTTATCTCTTGTAGAGCTTGAATCTCATTATTTTGCTATAGGCCTAGGCTATGATGTTGATTGACCCTCTAGCTCACACGAATGGCATTATGGCAATATGGCTCCTTGTACATATGTTTTCTCCTTTTACTAATGTAAGTCCATCTATCAAAAATGCTAATTGAAATGTGGACAAAAAAAAAATGAATAATACAACTCTAAATTCTATTAATTTAACGTTAATTTTGAAGTAAGAAATGTATGTAAGCCATGATAATCACAAGTGCACCTCCAATGGAAGCATGATGTCAATAGGAAGGACATTGATAATATTTTGTGTTGCATTTGGTGTCCACATTCAGAGTACCATCACACCTATTTTGAAGATGACCATAACATGGCATCAATTCTATGTATCTGTCTTGGATATATAGCCCCTGTTGCAGAATTCGCACTTCAAACGGTAACCTCAAGGACTTTACATGATCCTTACCAGCACTAGCCCAATTGACGAAATAAGCATGAAACTAGAGTTAGATCATACATCTTACTTCTAGAACTTGTTGCTCAACCGTCCTTCCTTCAATGCCTTTACGACCACCCAAATAGGCAAGGTAGCGCATAAGCATCTTGGTAGTTTCTGTCTTACCAGCCCCACTTTCACCACTGACCAGAATGGAGTTGCTTTTTCCATTATAGATCATTTCCCTGGTTCATTTCAAGTAATTTAGTAGACCATTTAAAACATCCTTTAAGAACAAACTCTACAAAATTTAAACAAAGCACAAGGTCACCTAAAAGTAACATCAGCAATTGCAAAAACATGAGGACTCAATCGTCCAAATGGTGCTCCCTTGTATGGTTCCATCATGTGATCATCATACGTATGAGGAAGTCTTTGGAATGGATTAATGGCGATGAGAATAATTCCAGAATAAGTCTGTGATAATGTCAGATTAGGACATAATATTATGACAAAGCCGCCCATAGCTGCATTAATTCATTGCTTTCTCTTACCAACATGAACATTAAATAACTAATGATATAAACTAATGATAATATCATATTAGGACATAAAAATCCTCTTTGCACCTGAATTACACCTTCTAATATGAAGAAATATTTTCCACCGGTAACAAAAATAAAGCAACATACATGATTTGATTACATATGTTATGGAGGAGCATTGAATTCAAGCAAAGCTGCAGGACCACCAGTTAGTTTAGACTTGTTTTCTCAAATTTCCAATCAAAACAGAAATTCCCAAATTTAAAAAAAAAAATTGTGATAAAATTAAAGTCTAAAATTTGATCAGCAAAAAAATTTTTGGAACTAGGTTATGCAGGTAGAACTATGACCTTCAGTTTCCAAAAATGCATCACATTGATGCACTAACTAATGTCCAGTTGATGTAATATTTTTACCGTCTTCTCATTACGAGTCCGGATCTCAACTTCCTATCCGTTAATATTTGACACTTATCCATCAATCCAAGCTTCATTTGGATCTTCAACCCAAACATGAGAACCTACAATGATATTCACTGGAGTGCCCTACATGTGAAATTCAAAAGATTATCAAAGCTTAAGAACTCAAATTTGAACGGAGGGAAAATAAAATTCTAATAGCAAACAAAACATAGAAGATTCTGTATATGCAACCAAGTTCCATTTGGTATACTTTTAATCATTGATTCCAATCAGGGCTTGCATTTCGGTACTAACCTAGTTGGGATGGATTTGCTTTGATAGGATGCTTATTCATCCATAAAACTTCTTTTTTGCTGATAATATATATATATATATATATATCAATGATTGGCTTAGATGTAATTAATATGGGATTGCATTTACCACTATCCAAGAGGCCAACAACGACTTCTTTTCCATATCTGGCTTTGAACCAGAAGTCATCTTTCTTTAATTTGTTCGACTTCTCCCCATCTTCTAAACCTACAAATTCCCATGATCTTATAGTCTGCAAAGAGTACTTTCCTGGCTTGCTTCGAAACACAGACACCACTTCCTCCTATTCTGTCAAAAACCCATTCTTAATGATGAAAAAACTTTCCTCACAGATAAAAAGTTTCAAAAAGAACCCATTCATTTATTAGATTTGTAACTATTGTTTACCAGATAGTTTTGATGCTTCATGGCGAGTGAGCACTGTTGTGAAGCCATTGATACTGTTCTTGTATCTGTAAAGAAGAGAAGACTTAGTTTCTTCCTCGGATTCTTTCACAAAGAACATATAAGAATGGTGAGTTTCTTCAATCTCATTAAATGTTTTCTTTCCTCTGTGTTCTCCAAAGTACACTATATAGACCTGTTTATGACCACACAAGTTACAACTTTTTGTTCTGTATCATACTTTTTATTTGACACTATATAGACCTATTCCTCTTTCCTCTGTATCATACTTTTAATTTTATTTTTGTTCTTTCTGTATTTAATTATTATATACATAGTTTTTAAATTAAACAACATCCATCCCCTATACATATATAAAAAAATTAATTCAATTACATCACAAATTAACCATAAATCCTTAATATTTATTCTTAACTTCAAACGTTTTTAACTTAATTTTCATTTAATTATATTTTACAGATACATACATACATACATACACATACATACATACATACATACGTACATATATACATACATACACTGTAAAAAAAACACAATCTGAATGGAGGTAAGGAGACAAAGCAATCAAACATTATAATGTGTAAACACACCTATAATAACCAAGGAATTAAACACATTTTACGGTATTGAATTAATGAAGAAGTCAAACACGTTTACAGCAATAAAGCGAGCAATCGAGGGAGACGGAGCAGTACAACAACGAAGCAATCGAGCAAAAGAGAGACGGCGACAATGGAAAGAAAAGGGGCGGCAGTCCCCAAATAGTCCCAAAATCAGTCCCATAAATTCAAAATATCAAAGAGAGAGAATGTCCTCGGTTGCGATCAGCGCTGTGAGAAAGGCAGACAAAGAAGAAAAAGAGGAGGAGGAGAAGGAGGCACCGTTTGAGGAAATGCCGTCGGCGGCGCGATAGAGCGAGAGGAAGAGAGATGAAAAAGAAAAAGAGGAGGATGAGGCGGTGTGAGAGAGTGAGAGGGAGAGGGAGATGGAGAGGGAGAGAGAGACATACCTCTGTGTTTGCTGTGCGTCGCTTGAGGGAGAGAATGAGATGAACAAAAATTATGTTAGGTGTTGCTTAGGTCTTATTTGTTTATTCACCAAAAGGGTCGGTCAAGTCTTAAAAAAAAAAAAAAAAAAAAAAGGAAAAAATGCAAAACGATGTAATTTCGACTTTTAATTTATTGGTGACGAAAATCCTTCGCTCGCCATAAGTATCGTTCACCTTTTTCGCAACTATTTTATTTTTGTCGCCAAAAATTACAAATCGGCGGCCAAACTTTTCGTCGCTATATATTAATTTGGTCGCGAAAACATTTTTGGTGCTCCCGCGCAGAAATTTAAGTTGGCGCCAAACCTTTTGGCGACAAAAAATATCAACTTGTCACCAATAGTTTATTTTTTGGCGACCAACAAGTATATTGTCGCCGATTATATACAATTGGCGACTAATTTCAGTTTAGTTGCTAAAAAACATCACCAAAAATGTTTTTTGTTGTAGTGAGGTAACATATCTATGCCACGGTATTGTTTCCCCCGGGCGAGGGCCTGTGCCACTGTATTCTTTCCCCCTGGAAAGGGCCTGTGCCACAATATTCTTTTCCCCGGGCGAGGGCCTCATGACCATGTGCCTCAGTATTGTGTCCCCTGGGCGAGGGCCTCGGCTAGGGATACCGCGTTTACATTCCAAGGAAAATTAGACTATCATTCATTTATTCAAACATAGCATTTCAGAACTTATCATCTCATGTCATTGGAAAATAATTAAAGTTAAACATAATTTTACAGAGTTATTACTCACAACAATTGGTCGGCTCACTAGATGGTCAAATGGCTCTTCACTTGTCTTGAGGTGCGTGGCCTACACGAACATGCATACAATTACCCGCTTGAAACACACGCTCGAGTTAGACGTAATGCACTTCGTTATTCTTAGTGTGTGTTTAACTATTAACCTCATTATGGAGTCTTAAACATGGCCTAGGAATGCCTAGGATGGAATGAGGATGCAAAAATGCCTTAGAAAAGATTTTTCATAATTTTCAGAAAACAGGGGTCCCGCTCGGGCGTGGGATTCCCCGCTCGAGCTGACATGCAACCAAAAGTCCCTGCTCGAGCGTAAACTTTCCCGCTCGAGCGGTCTGCAAAACATGACAAAAGTACTAGATGGGTGAAAATCACGCTTGACGGGCGTTCGACCCACGCTCGAGCGTGTGACTCAGGTCCCCGCTCGAGCGTGAATTACCCCGCTCGAGCGGACTATAAAACAGTGCAAAGTACTAGATGGTCGAATTCTACGCTCGAGCGTGAGCCTAAATTCTGGAAATTCCAAATTGGACCTTCAAGCTCAAAACCAAGTTTTAATGCATCAAATTCGATCCTCTTGGGCTAATTTTCTGGAAAACACTTGTAAACTCATAGTATAACATGTTTCAAAGCTCAATTTGAGAAATCAAAGCCCAAGGGTAGTTCAATTAAACACTATTTCAAACCAAAGTTCAAGAATACACTTCAAATGAAACATGCATGAGTTCAAACCAAATCAAAGCGTTAATTACTTGCTCAAATGAGTCAATCCTTTCAAAACAAGATGAAATCATGGACTATACTCAAGATATGAACATGCATGTAGCAATTCTAATGAAACAACCTCAAAACTTCAATGTGAGAACATGCATGCAAGATTTAAGCTTCGATTCAACACTTTTAAGCAAATTCTTGACTTAGATCACTAATTAACCATGGGCCATACAAGAACTAACTTAAATACATAAATGAGAGGATGAATCTTCTACCTTAAGTCTTGAATGCAAGGTAGGGGAGCTCAATTAAGCAAATTACTCTTCAATTCTTATAATTCCAAGCCAAAAATCTTATTGAATCAAGCTAACTCCTACCTCTCCCTCTCTAGTCGGTTGGCCTTAGCAAAATAGCTGAAGGAATGATATGAGATGTATATAAATCACACGCCAAACAATGGTTCTAAAGTGGCCCACTAATGGCAAAGTGGCAATTAAGTCCAACTCTTGTAATTTAGATTTATTTAATCTAATTTAATCGTACCAAATCACATTTCAGATAAATACATCATAAAATCACATAAATGCTAACTAGTACATAACACTAATCAATTTCGAAATCGGGCGCCGATAAGGCTTTCAATTCGCAGATAGAAACACATAAATAATGCAATACATATGCAATTTAATCTCAGATTCCTTCTAAATTACTATTAGGCATAATTAATCATGTTTTAGCATTAATCTGAGGACGAGGTTATTACAGTATGGTTGGATTTGCTCTAAAACAGGACAATCAAATGGCATGACTCAATTATAAACAGTTTGTTAGAGAAAGACACCCCAACCCCAACTACACTCATCATTCACCTTATTTATATGCTTCAAATTCTAGGGTGGGCAAGGTCCGGATTGGACCAGATTGGAGTAAAATCAGGACCGATCCGCTATCTATGGATCCTGAAAAATTGGAACCAATCCAATCCGTTTAAATCGTGGAACCAATCCGATCCAATCCATTTAAACACGGATTGGATTGGTTTAGGACTACGGATTTATATAATTAAATAACAAAAAATATATATACAACACTTTAATTTCATAAAAATATAAATATAGGACCATATTAGTTTCACAATGTAGCATGTCTTTTCATAATAGCGACAAACTGTTCTAGAATTTAAACAACTATAAAAAAACTAGTTCCACCATAAATATTTAGACCATTACAAATTAACACTAAAAACTAGCAAACAAAAGTAATAAAAGAAGATACTATACAAGTTTATGTTTGGATTTAAGTTTTATACGAAATAAGAGAAGATGCTATGCAGGAGAGTGTATAATAAAAATATAGACTATTTGTATACGGTCCGGATCGGTTTCAATCCGGAATCGTGGGGTTCAATGCGGAACCAATCCGTAAAGGAGTCCTAAGTCGGGAAGGACAATATAGTCACGTGATAATAAAGGAGTCCTTTGGGAGCACTCACAAAAAGCTAATTTTTTATTTAAAAAATCACTAAACTTTTTATCATTAACTAAAAAAAATTAAATTTATCAATTTTTTCACTTACAAAAATATAATTTTTTTATTAACTTTTTAAATTCATTAACTTTTCTAGTTCTTAAAAAGTCAAACCCCCACTAAGACCTCAGTTCAATAAATAAATAAATTCTTAATTTTTTTTAATTAAAAAACTGTATTTATCCCTACCAAATCATTTTTTTTAATTAAAAAACTATATCCATCCCTACCAAATCACCATGTGGCAATGATAGTTTCGTAAATGAAACCTATTTTTATGGTTATTGTGTTTTAAAATAAAAAGTTCGAATCATATCATTTTATATGATTTTTTTATTTATATATTATTATTTTTTTATTTTTTTATTTTTTTTTACTAACAACCTTGGACCTATCTTAAAAGAATAAACTTTGAATACACATAATCGCTCACTAATCACCTGCATCAATTAAGGTACGACACAACTAACAAAATTATTCAAAATGCCTAAATTCACAATTCCAATTAGAAATACTTGTGGCCTGTTTAGTAATTATTCCGTTTTCAGTTTTTAATTTATATTTACAAAAATTAAAAAATTGTCATAAAAATTTGTTTGATAATTTTTTTAATTTATAAATGGTTGTCTTAGTTTATAAATTTAAGGAAAAAATGTAAAACAAAAAATGAGTTTACGTTTTCAATTTTTAATTTTTTTTTCAAATAATTTTTTTTTCAATTAATTTTTTTCAAGTAAATTTTTTTCAAATATTTTTTTTCCCAATTAATTTTTTTTCAATTATTTTTTCAAATAATTTTTTTTTTCAATTAAATTTTTTTCTTCAAATATTTTTTTTCAATTTATTTTTTTAATTATTATTTTTTCAATTATAATGTGTGTAATCCCATTATCATAAATAGTAAAAATAAATATAAATATTTTTGGCCTGAACAAATATATTTTTTAATTTTTGTTTTTAAATTTTTTAAAATATTTTATTCAAACTAAATGCGTTTGTAATTTATGTTTTTTTAAAAATAAATAAAAATCAATTTATAAAATTTTTATAAATATAAACAAAAAACATAAACGTTACCAAATGCGACATTGACAACTGAACAAATCATGTAAATTTATGATAAAAATTTTAGCAATACATCCAACACATTTCACAATTATAAGAAGAGTCATCCATTAGTGGGTCTAAACTCTAATCTTTCTTGTTCGGTAAGCAAGCAAGGAACCGGCTCCTTCCGTCACTTCGTCTCGCCACAACACAAGCATGGGCTATTTCCTCCCTCAATGGGGTGCCTTTCCCCCTCGTGATTGGGGTCCCGTCCTTGCCTCCTTGGGGTGTTTGGGAGGGTTTTTTTTTAACCAATTTATGACTTTTGGCTTTTAAAAAGTTATTTTGGACTGTTTGGTTAAACTTATTTCAAACAGTTTCTGATTCAAACAACTTATTTTAAGTGAAAAAAGCTGATTCTGAGAAGTTGCTCACCCCTTACTTCTGATTATCAGCTTCTGCTGTGGACATATTAATTCACGGTTATACTCTTAGATTTTTTTATTTTTTATTTTTTTAAAAATAGAAAAAGACACAAATGGACTATAAAATATTATTATTATTTTTTATGAGAAATGTAGACAAATAGTGAATAATAAAAAATAAAAGTTAATTAAAAAAGTTACTTCACAGCTTATTTAACAAACACTACTCAGCAACTTAAATCTATAATCCAATAGGTATACCAAACAGATTAATAGTTTCTGATTAAAGTCATAATCTATGATCTATTAAGTTATAATCTATAATCTATTTTAACTGCTACACCAAACAACACCCTTATTCCGATTTTTCTTACCGAGCTAGCGATCTGGCACGAAATATCTGGCACGAGACTCACCTTTCCTTTTTTCACTAACTTGGCCACGATTTAATTAAATGGCTCTTTATATTTCCCGTGAAAAAAATAAATGACCTAACAAAAGCTGTAGCTTTTTTTTTGGAGAGGTGTCTTCAATAGTTGTGATTTTAAGTTCTTTATAGAAAGTTGCTTTTTGCC